TTTTTTTTTTTTTTGTTTGTTTTAAAACTTTTCCCAATGTCAGGCTGGAAAAACATTAGGTTATCTGTAGCTAAGCACTGCAACGCTAAATTGTCATGAAGGAAATTTTGTAAATGATCAACTGAATGTTAGATCCAGTATTGTATTTTTATATTTTCTGATCATTGCAGCCTTAGGTTTAAAGCAGAGAATCAGAGTTGGTGTGGTGGGAGCACCACTTTGAGGGCCTCAAAAAAATAAAAGTTTTAACTTTGGGCCACAGAGGGCCGTGGGACCACATTGATCTGTGGGACCACATTGATTTTGAATAATGTGCAATACACTTTGTCACCACTAGTAGCAGTAGTGCGCCACTCAGATGTTTAACAACTTTTTTAATATGAAGAAGTACCTTAGAAACCTGCTGAGAATGGAAACATATTTTAAACTAAAAGTAGAAGGCAAAACTTAAGGTAACCCATCAAAAAATGCCAAAGTTTGTCACTAATATGAAGAGCAGCCTCTGGTTCTACTATGTAATATTTTTAAAGTTCATAACATTATCAAATACAGTTGCAGATACAAATATATTTTAATTAGCACTATATCAAATTAATTTTTGTAGTTTATTTTTAAACTTTTTGTCAAAAAGCTGTTGTTACCGTTATTGTTTGTCACTAATATGAAGAGCAGCTTCTGGTCCTACAATGCAAAAGTTTAAAAAGGCTTTATTTTCATTTGCACTTTATCAAATTTATTTTTAGTTTTTTTTATTTCGAACATTTACATTAAATATTTTTAATGTATTTATTTTATGATCACAATTTTATTTATTGAATTGTATATTTTTGTTGTTTATGTTAAAAAAAATTATTTGTGTTGAAAAGCCTGAGTGGTCTGTTGACTGATCTTTGTATTTGTTCAAATAATTGTTATGGGCAGGTTACAATATAAAAAAATATCACACTCATGTCTTGTGATTATTTGACAGGAGTTTTACTTTTAAACTGTAAGTGTATTTAATTTAGTTATTAACGCAAATACAATATAAATTAAACCAAGATTTAGAATAATTATATTTTAAACCAAGATTTTTAATAATTATCATTTTGATCCGTATGGTCATGTCTGACTGGGCCTCGTGTCACTTTATGTTGAACAAATTGGGCCCCGAGGTCAAAAAGGTTAAAAACCCCTGGTTTATGTGATCCCTCTCTAGAATCAACAGAAGCTGGTTACGTTCTGACGTCTGATGTAAAAGTTACCACTTTCAGGGGTGTAACCAGTGTAGGGTTGGGCATAATCGTATTGTGTGCAATTAATCGTCAGAAAAACATCAATCAATTATTTTTTTGGCACTTGACGATTAATACGATTAATGCCAGCAGGGAGACTGACTGGAGATTACTCCAGTCAGTCCGCTCGGTGCTCCTCTCTATCTCAAATATGACGAACATTAAAAAAATGTTCTGTAATTTTTTTATTTATCAACACAATTTCAAATATGATATATAGCCTGAAGACTGCGATTTTGACACAATTTGGAACAGATTTTTATGAAGAGCAAATATTTCCCACTAAATTGGTCATGTGACTAGGATATTAAGGGTGCCCAAGGACTCCAGGGGATTAATCATCAAAATAATCGTTATCGGTTAAATACCACAATTAATCACGATGAAGTTATTTTTTTGCCAATATTGCCCAAACCTAAACCAGTGTAGGGGTCACCTCAAGAGGAATAATCAAGAAAACTCTTGGATCTCAGGCCTCCAGCGGGCCTTTAAAGAGACAAAACTCTGTTCCACTTTAAAATGAATTTGGTCCATAACAGGTCATCTTAGCTGTTAAAGAGACATTCCTTAAGTTTAGATTAGAATAGAATAGAACAGAATGCCTTTGTTGTCATTAAACACGTGCATAACGAGATTAGAGCCACTCCCACAGTAGTGCAAATACACATTAAAAGTAAAAGAGAAAAACAATTAAAAAATTTTAAAAAACACATAAAGCACAATGGGCCTCATGCAAGAACATGTTCGTATTTTTATCCTAAATTTCTCTTACTTTTGTTCGTACAAAGGGTTCGTACGAACATGTC